AGATCCCAGGAGAGCTGTCACAAGCTGGGCACTATTTAGAATAAGTCACAAGTCACATCAGCTCATACCTAAATGATTACATCCATCTCTTTCAGAACCACTCGTCTATTTTCATTCCAAACTTAAGAATCTGAATACATTCATCCCATTTTCTCATTGAGACTGTTCTATGCTGCGTCACTCAATCCTCACTTCCTAAGGTTTTTGAAAAAATGACTTAACTTGATGAAAACCAAGTGATGAAGACAACATATGCTGTGAATATGCCACTGATACGCTTTTTAAGATAGCAATGTTTCTATGCAGGTCATTTTCTGTACAGAATACACACAATTCACTTCCTAATAATTTCAAATATTACTCAATACTTTGGCAAGATTTGGAAACACGCCTGGTTTCAAGACTGCTTTACCAGAGTACGTAACACACCTGTGCTCACAAGGATAAAGCTTTCCTTCCACGTGTCTCACTCCTCACACAACTCTAAGTTCCCAGGGCTGTTTTAACACCCACTTACCCCATGCCTTCTGCAACCAGATTCAGCTGCAGACTGCACTTTGCTCAGGATCATCAGTTAATATAAGTGGAAGAACTCTCAGTAAGGGCGACGGAGCTCTGGAACAGATTGCCCAGGGAGGTTGTGGAGTCTCCTACGGAGATATTCAACCCATCTGGCTGCCTACCTGCACGACCTACTGTCAGGCACCTGCTTTAGTAGGGGGTTGGACTCGCTGATCTCCTGAGGTCCCTTCCCCTGTGATTCTGTGATTTAACCCCTTTAGAACATCGTGATTCAGCGTTACTTCTACCAGGGCATCAAAGCCCAACCGCCTGTATTTTGCCGACTACACGAAATAAGTAGCCTGCCACAACACGTACGCTTACGCCGGATTTCCTGCAGCAAACGTAACGCCGCGCTCAGGGCCGAATTGCGGCCGGCTGTGCGCACTACCGAGGAGAACGCGTGACAGAAGCCCGGCTCTCGGCACGGCCCCGCCCGCCCGCGTTCCAAGCCGCGCGCCCGCCAGGTCACGGCCGCAGAGCTCCCGGGGAGGGGGCGACGGGTCCCGGCCCGCGCGCAGGACGCGCACTGTCACCATAGCGACGGCGCAGGCGGCGAAAGAGGAGGGCGCCGAACGTCGCCATAGCGACGGGATGCGGTGGGGGGGCGCCGCTCTCCCACAATGCTCTCCGAACGGGGCGTCCCCCGGCCCGGTACCTGCTGCAGGCGGAGGTGCGAGGCCAGCACGGCGGGCAGGTGCAGGAAGCAGTCCCGGGTCCCGCTCAGCACGACCGTCGCCGCGGCGACTCCAGCGCCCCCTCCGCCGGGGTTGCCGCTGCCCCACATGCCGGCGGCCGGCCGGGCCGGGCCCCGCCGCCGCCGCTGCTCGCCCGCCCCGCCCCGGCGCCGAGCTGCCCGGTCGGGGGCGGCCGGGCCTTCCCGAGATTCCTTCTCCTCCCCCTGCCGCCCCCGGGACAATGGTACGACCCGCTGCCGACCAATGCGGTCGCGGCATGTACGCGTCCCCGTCCTCCGATTGGCCGCTCCATCGGGGGCTGCGGCTCGTTCCGCCTGGCTTCTCGACGGCGCCCGCTTCCGCTCCTGGAAGAGCCGATAAGAGCAGGGCGGATGCGGCTCGCCGTCTGATTGGCTGCTTGCTCGGCGAGCGACTGGAGCTGACTGCGCGGGGAGCGGCGGCGGGCGGGAAGATGGCGGCGGGCGGCGGCGGGGCGCTGGGGGAGGCGTGCAGGCACCACCAGCAGCTGGGCGCCTGCGGGTCGCGCGCCAAGTACCGCGAGGGGCGGCGGCCCAGGGCCGTCAAGGTGCGGCGCGAGGGCGGGCTGGCTGCGCCGTGCGGAAATCGGCCGGGGACTTGTTTGCTCCGCAAACGCTCCGAGCTGCGTAGAAGTGTCAGCTCCAGCCGATGTTCCGCGACGAGTAGGAGGCTCGCGGCCGTTCCTCCCCGCGGTGGCTCCGGGTAGCTGCACCTCGCTGTCTGCTGGCCGGGCTCCCGGCTTCCTGCTCCTGCGGATCCCGGCTGTGCACGGAGCGCGGCGGGCCTTCCGGCGTCCTGGGAGCGGCTGAGCAGCAGCGGCAACACGAGTGCTTTGAGCTGTTATTTCTGCAGTGAAGCGAAAACGCGGGCGTTTGAGAATGCTCTCCTCTGTTTCTTTCAGGTGTACACCATCAACTTGGAATCCCGTTATTTACTGATCCAGGGAGTCCCCGCGTTAGGTGTCATGAAGGAACTAGTGGAGCAGTTTGCCTTGTACGGTGCCATAGAAGAGTACCACGCCCTAGATGAGTATCCTGCAGAGCAATTTACTGAAGTTTATCTTATAAAATTCCAGAATCTCCAATGTGCGAGGTATTGTACTGAGCAGTAACTGCCTTTTGCTGTTTTAATCCTTCACGGCCTCTTTGTGTATGATCTACATTCCAGAGAGTAAAGCCCTCAGTTCTGCTAACGCCATTTAGTTTCCTTCAGGGTGGCCAAGAAAAAAATGGATGAACGCAGTTTCTTTGGGAGTTTGCTGCACGTGTGCTATGCTCCAGAATTTGAAACAGTCCAAGAAACGAGGGAGAAGCTGCAGGACAGAAGGAAGTATATAGCAAAAGCAACAAATCAAAGAGGTTTGTAATTTTTGTAAGAAGGTTTGTAAGAAGGCTGTGGGGCGACCTCAGTGCAGCATTTCAATACCTATTATTAGATGGGAGGGGAATAAACTCTTTGAAAGGGTAGATAACTGCAGGACGAGGGGAAATGGTTTTAAGTTGAGGAAGGGGAGAAGGTTGGATGTCAGGGGGAAGTTTCTTTACAGAGAGAGTGGTGAGGACAGGCTGCCCAGAGAGGTTGTGGATGCCCCGTCCCTGGAAGTGTTCAAGGCCAGATTGGATGGGGCCCTGGGCAGCCTGGTCTAGCATTAAATGAGGAGGTTGGTGGCCCTACGTGTGGCAGGGGGGTTGGAGTTTCATGATCCTTGAGGGCCCTTCCAAGCCTGGACATTCTGTGATTGTTTGTAATTGAATTTCATGTAGAATCTTAATTTCACTGGTTGGTGGGTCTTGGTAAAGCCAAAAGCATCCATTTAAGAAAATATTTTGTATTTAGCTTTTTTAAAAGATGTAGAATTGGGATATTTCTCAATTATTTCTAAAGGTGCATTTTTCAGAAAACAATGTTTTAGTTAATGTGCACTTTAAAGCTTTAAAACCTCATTGTTTGCTTCTCTTGTTTTCTTTTCAAAATGCTACCTGAAATTTTAAGCGCTGCCAGGAAAGTGAGGATCAGTTTCTTCCCCCTTGTTGCAGTTCTTTCAGGCATACCCAAAAAGAAAGTTTTGTAAGAGAAAAAAAATACACAAAGAACCAATGAAAAAAACCCACACCCTTTCCAGCCTGCCGTTTGGCTCTGTAAGGAATGTGGCAGCCTTGCTGCTGAGTTCCCAGGCAGCACTGAAGGATGGACAAGCTGTAAAATAAGCACAGTGCCAAGTACAAGCCTCTCCTTTCTTATGCTTATGTACTTAGATATCATTATCTATTGCAGGAGGTTATTTCTTAAGGTGCTGCTTAAGCAGAATCACAGAAAGGTAACTGGGAATGTAGTGTTGCTGGTAGTGTTTCTGTCACTTTATTGAATACTCCTTATGTGTTAGAACTGATGGCATAAAATAATGAAGCTTTTTTTTTTTTTGGCTTCTTTGTTTTAAAGATTGCTTTCTGTTGAAGAAAACAGAGGGGCCTAGGAAAACCAAGTCTGACTGTCAGTGGAGCACATCAGGATCGTATGCAGCTAGCCACTGGGATCCATCCTGCTTTCCAGATTCTCACGGGGTGTCCCAGAACACGGAATATCCTTCTGGCAATCACAGTCAGGGCCTATTGACTTTTCCCCAGTGTGACAACCACAGTGCTGAAATCTCTGGAAACTTTGGTCAAAGCACATCCCTATCTCTGAAGACGCATCCAGGAGGATGTGCTGCACCAGTGCCTTTAATTCAGCAAAGAACAGTTCCAGCTGATAACGGAACAGACAGGTTTATGCCTCGTACAACTCACCTGCAGGAACGTAAGAGGAAGAGAGAAGAGGGTAACAAATCTGCCCTCACTGAAACAAATGTGGACAGTACTGACATCGTTATTGGCCCACAGCTACCAGAAATACCTAAAGTAGATATGGATGATGATTCACTGAATACTTCAGCTACATTGATTCGAAATAAATTGAAAGAGGTATGGATTCTTAAAGTTCTGGTATTTTCACACATCCTTTAAAAAAAGTACATTTCTAAAATGCTTGCCAAAAATACATTTTTCCCTTCCCTTCCCAAAATATCCAAGTCCAAAAAGTGTACCAGACTTTGTTTTGAAACACCTCTGCTATGGAGAGCAAGTGATAAAATATTTAATAGAGTATATCATGGAGCATCTGAAATGGTTTGTGTGATTGAAATTTTCTCAAAAACAAACAAAAAAAGAAAAAATAGCTAACACACTTGAATTTCTTAAGAGTTTTAGCTCTCTTATATTTAATGCTGCCTTTGGTGTTACTTCTCGCCCTTTTCTATTGAAAAAATCAATGCAAGTGTGATTATAAGAACGTATGCCTGCTAATACTGAAAGACTGAAGACACAGCCTTATTCTAAAACTAGCATTAAAAAAAACCAGCAATGGTTATGCTTCACTTAGAATTTTTTTTTCCTATTTCAGGTAGCAGAGTCTGTTTCGAGTGCATCTGTGGAAAAGCCAGGCAGTAGTGCCACCAAGCCACTAGTAAAGCAGAGGCGAAGAATATAGATACTGCTGGCAGCATCTTTCTACAGTTCTTTAGAGGGGATATAATTTAAAATACTTAGTTTTGTTTTTTAAATTAAAAAGAAGTGTTTTATATTGCATTTCCAAGCAATTCCTTGTTAAAAATAGTACAGGATAAAAACTAAACCAGTATAACACCATAGCGACCTTGTCCTGTGTATTTAAAGAACTGCAATTAGGTAAAGTAATAAAAGCAAATTCTATTTATTCCATAGCTTTTACAGTAAAGGAGAATTGACACTTAAGATATCAATCGTTTTGTGGTGCTTTTATTTCTACTGTCCTATGAGGAATGATGAAGAATTCATTGAACAGTGTTCCAGTTGGAGTTACAGTTTACGCTTTTCCTGGAAGGTCCTCCTTTCAAATGCCATACTGCTCTGTTAAATCAGGAGAAAAAGAAGTTTTTTCTCAGTTAACTGGAACATTTACATTTAGTTAGAAAAAGAGGGCCAACTGAAATGTATAAGTAGTGAAACAATTCTTTGTAGCATGGAAAAGCTAAATCCAGTATCATTACTGTCATCAAGGAACTGATCACAGTGTTTGAAGTTATAACCATGCTAGGAAAGCTTGTGAATTCTGAGCTTTCTTCATGCTCAGAATGCTCATAGCTAAAATCTATTGGTTTCTGGGGAGTTGGAAGGGTGTATAAAAGTTATTTTTAAGAATGGAACTAGAGACCTAGTAAAAAGGTACCAGTTGGGTAGGGTGCAGAACGGACACAAAAATAGTGGAACCAAGAAACTGACTCAGTTTCCTACCTGTTGCCACAAGTGGCTAGAATTGTGTTCCTGATTTACCACCAATTCTGACAAAAAGCAAATCATTTTTCTGTGCTGATCAGTGAATGTAAATGCTGTTAAGAAGCTCTTCAAAACTTTTCCTTGATGGAGAAAAATAGAAGTACTGACCCTGGGTCACTGAAAACCTACTGCCAGCCTTTTAAAATGTGACGTTTTGAAAATAGCTGCTATTGGGGTGGCCTGAGATAATCCAGACTGCAGCCACAGCTACAAGACTCCTTCCTTCTGTCTGTCACCAGGAAGGTGAGCTGGCATGAAATGTAGGTTCTGAGCAAATAAATCCTTGCATTGTTTTCAACAATGTTATGGAACTTTTCTGTTTCTATGCATGTCAGAATCTTGTTTTTCCATTTCTATGAGGGCAAGACTGTTGGCATTTAAAAACAAAATGCAGTTCAAAGAGTATAATGATGGATTAGTAAAAAATTACTATTATGAAGCAGACATCTATGCTTCAGTTTGATTTAACACTGAGGAAATCACTGCATCCCAAATGACCATCTCTCTGAATTGGATGCACTGCTAATAAATAAAGCTCAGTTGGATGGAATTTAACAATAGTAGCACTGTATTAGATTAGAGATTACACTTCTAAGGTATTTTCTCAGAAGGTTACCAGTCTCTACCAAAAGAATGGCAGTAGAGCCAGTGGCACAGAAGAAAGAACAAACACTGCATTCCTAGAGAAGTTTCAGATAAACTGCAAGACTCTGATCTCATTTTCTTAGCCTGGGAGGATGCTTACTGAGAATCATTTATTGTATTTCTGCCACAGCACAAACAAGTGGCATGACATACTATGTTTCTATGCTCCCTGGTATATGTGTTTGACTGTATCAGGAAATGTGTACTGTGACAGGCAGACATGAAGTCAGAAAATCTCACAACTGAAACACCAGATGAATTCAGCAAACTTCATACAAAGACAGTTAATACCATAATTTGAACGTATAGTTAAAAATAGTAAGAAGATATGTTTTTTTTAACTGAAGGCTGATGTACCTTTACGTCTGGCAAACACGGTCCAAAGGCTTCTAAGAGAAGATTTTCATTTTTGACAGCTTCTTCAAAGTCCGCAAAAGAAAGTTTGCCATCATGGTCATGGTCCTACACAAGGAGAAGTCCTTAGCAAAGTATTGTAGTAATTGCCTGCTTATTTAACAGATATTTCATTCACGTGGATTTTTTCTTTAAATGGAAAAATCTTCCTTGGGCCATCTATCTGCTCAGACAAGATCTTTAAGTAGAGTTTGTCTCTACTTACAGCATAAAAGATGGAACAAGCTCAACTATCTAGCATAGCTTTGCTAACAGAATTCCTGATAGGGCAAAATGTTCACGTGGGAAGAGCTCGGAATGAGAACCCTGGAGACAAATCTCAACAATGGCTGCACAAGGATAAAGGTAGAAGAAAATGTTAAGATGCGTTCTATGTATTTACACTGTGAGTATACCTACATCCTTGAAATACTTTATGTGAGTGGTTTTATTGTAGGTATACTTCTGCCATGTCTTTCTCAATGTGTTGACATAGCAGCACATGATGGAGTATGCTACTGCCTGCTCGCTTCTGACTGCAGAATATACCTCTGTAGGTGGAAAAGAAGCATCCTTGTGTTTTTTGCATTTCTGTAATTTGAAAACCTCCTTTTTCTACAAACACGGCAGTGTAAAGCAACAAATGCTACAGTAAGCATTTCTTTAATCCTTATAAAGTAAAGGCCTTAAGTAAAAATAAATAATAAGTAATAATAAATAATTTAAAAAAAAAAAGGTGCACTTGAACTATTTTGAACTATTACCCAAGGCATAGGGCCAAACTGAAATTCTTGAAGATCAGCCACAGAACCCTCATATGGGAAGCACAAGCTTAAGAGATGTTAAGTGTCACAATAAGAGAGTACTTGCCATTTTCTTCAGTGCTATGTCTACCAAGTCCTTAATTCCCTCATCAGGATCTTCTTCTGATGGTTGTTTGAGAAGGCTGTTTTTCAGCATTTGAAACATCTCCTCTCTTGAAATATATCCATCACCATTCAGGTCATAAACCTCAAAACAATCTTTTCAAAAGATAAATTCAAAGTTCATACAAACTATATCACCCATTAATAAAGCTGTTGCCTATAGACAGAAAATATGAATTGTATGTTGTACAGCGTATGTATTGAGCAACATTTAACATATTCAGATTAGATACTGGGAAAAGGTTCTTCACCAGTGGGTGCTTGGGCCCTGGAACACAATCCCCAGGGCAGTGGCCATGGCCACAAGCTGCTGGAATTCAAGCAGCATTTGGACACTGCTCTTAGACATAGGGTTTGAATTTTGTGTGGTCTTGTATGGAGTCAGGAGTCGGGCCTGATGACCCTTGTGGGTCCCTTCCAACTCAGGATGTTCTATGATTCTCGTACTTTTTATGAAATACACCTATCACATTCTGATACTGCTCAATTATTGCCTATTTACCCATTATAGTTGAAATCTACTTCTTCAGTTCATAGAAACCGTAGTAGCTTACAGATCTTAACTTTTCTAAGAGTAGCTTTTTAGAACATAAATAAGGTTCTCGTTTAGAAACCCAACTTCTCATGAGTGGGACCAGCTGTCTGTATCAGAAGGCCTTCGAACATACAAATCACATCCCAGTTACTTCAGAAACTGGTTTAGAAAAATAGAGGAAAAAGAATGAGTTGTACTAGCATGGAAAAAGCAACTTTAGTGTCTCTAAAGGCAAAGAGCAAATCTGCAACAGAATAGTTGCAGCACAGGCATCTGACTGATGTATCTTGCAAATTCTTCTGCCTCCCTGAAATCAGAAATCTAGGACTATAATACATTTCAGTATCCTTCACAAAACTTATTTAAAAAACAAAAGTTTTTACTTTGGGGGCAGATTTTTTTTTCCTCTGCTAATGGCTTTGTTACAGTGAAAAATTGTACTGGCATAAACTTATGATAAACACCACTGCGTGCCATCACAGAGCAGTATATCCTAGAGTGCTCACTGCTGGGCTGCATATTTTATGGCCTGTGGTTGTTCTGATGTTACATCCTGGCACATACCCTAGTAGTGTGACATCCCAAGTCGTGTTCCAGTGCAATGCTTTATTATGAAATTTGACAGCATATTATGCATGGCTGATGCTGAAACCAGAACCACGGAAACAACATGCTGTCGTTCTCCTTCTTCTATAAAACTCCCCCTCCACCCCCAATCTCTTCCTCCCTTCCCCTCCTTTTTGCTGCTTTTAAAAATTCTAGAGTTCTTGCATTTTTTTCTCTACCATCTTTCTCCATCATTACTCTGAAGGTTCTTAAGAACATCTTAAAAAATGGACTTTCAGTTTTTCCATCTATACTTCCAAGCTGAAGAACTGCTAGAATCAACGTAACTGCTGCTGTGTCCCCGTTGTGCCAGTACATGAATGCTGGCACAGGTCTTGTTTGGCTTGAGGGGGCTGTTATCTTGCCACCCCCATCCCCTTAAACTACACGTTTACTTCCAGCTTTGTGTGGGAATATAAAAACATAAATCCTGTCAAAACCATACAGTAGAACAAGCTTCAGTTCAAAACATTTTCTGTCAGCAACACAGTAAGAGTTTACACAATAATCTGTCTCAGAGAAATGGTTTCAGAAATCATTTTCACTGAAGCTACAGAAGAAAACTTGTCAATTATTAAACACTTTGATTAACTAATCTATTAAAAAATGAAAGTGATGTGTAATTCAACACTCCTGAATACTATAATTACCACTAAGTACTAGCATGCAAATAAACCTTACACTTAATCCTTTCTTCCAGTGTCCCCCGAAGAAATACCGACAAGCCTTCCACCCATTCCACCACACTGATGCAATTATCATTGCCTCTATCGAAAGTGCGGAACACTAGAAAGGGTTATTAGATGCATTTTAAATTTATGTAATACAGAAACGCAAATAAATATTTCCTTATGTTCAGTGAAAAGATAAACACATTTTTCCTCAAGCAGAGAAACACCTTCACGAAGTCCAGGACAGAGCCCTCCACCAGCTGCAATGAACACCACGTCCTGGAGCCACAGAAGGAAGGACAGTGGCACTGCGCTGCCCCCTTCTGTCATGGCACTAAGGGTGGCTGGACAGACCTATCCACACTCAGCAGCCCAGGTGTTCCTTATCTGCCAGGCCTTGCTCATACAAGAGTGTGAGCCCTCCCAAGCCATGGGAAAACCATTCCGCATAAAGAAATATACTCAGCGTGACTCTTCCTTGGCTGCCCCTACATGGCTGAGACAACAATCCTTTGTCCAGCAATGCTCATTGGGTCAGCAATGTACTTTTTCCTCCCCTATGGACACTGGCCTTCCACCTCCCTTCCACCCACAGCTCACACAGAGGTAGCAACTGTTCGCATACAGCTTTTCTGCTTTGTCAACCTCTTTCACAGCGATCAAAGGGGTTTTCTTGGCAGTAGGGATCCACTATTCTCACTGGAAACCAAACGGAAACTAGTTTCAGGTTTTCATGTAACCTGGGAAGTCTTCAAGGGAGCTGTCGCAGATCGCTGTTCAGCAGGGCTGGCCAAGGCTTACACAGGAAGCACCGCAGCCCTGCTGAGCCCGCCGGCCTCACCTCTGTCCATGAGCACGTCGTCCGTCATGCCGAAGTCGCGGTGCAGGGTGTCGAGGAACACGTTGCGATCGAAGCCGACCGCGGCGAAGCGGCTGTGGGACGCGCTCATCAGCGTGTCGAAGAGCCTGATGAGGCATTCCACTTCACCTCGATTAACTGGGAGCCGAAACACAAGCAGACCTTATCACCGACGGAGCGGAACGGCGGTGCAAAGAGGAAAGCCGCGGGACACAGAGACCTCGCGCATTAAACCGACACCACCCGCACCTCCCCCCGGCACCTCGCGCCGTTCCTGAAGGAGCAGACGCCTCAGGGCCGGGCAGCGGGGCACAGCGAACGGCCCCCGGCCACCTCCGGCCGCGCGCGGCACTCACAGTGCTTGGCCGAGCGGCTCAGCGACTCCACCAGCTGCTGCAGCCGCTTCTTGCTCATGGCGGCGGCTTCCTCGCCGCTGCCCGGGCAACCCGGGCGGGGCAGCCGCCGGGCCCGGCGCGGCATGGCGGGGCTGCCGGCTCGGCTCCCGGCGGTGCGGCAGCCGGGTAACGCCCCGCGCGAGGAGACACCCGTCGGCTCCGCCCGGCCCCCGCAGCGGCGGTACGCGCCCCACGGCAGCGCTGCGGCGCGGCTACCGCCTGCTGCGCGTGCCGGATGGGCGGCGCCGGGACGGCGTGGCTCGGGCAGGTCGGTCAGCCCCGCTCCGGCCCTTACCCCTTAAACCGCAGCCCGTCGCCCTTTCGGTACGCGCGGCACCGTGGTTTTTTTCTAACGAGGAAAAGAAGATGCAAGAGGAGTCTCTGTGAGGTTGTCTAATGTATTGAAAACCAAAACACATTCCATCGGCAACGTGAAAGCGGCTTTGCTGTGAAATGACAAAGCCTGTACGCTCCTTAATAACTACACCACTTCCAAAGCGCTGCGAGTGTTTGTGAAGCACACAGCTGACAGCAACGGCAGTTCTATTCAGACTAGTAAAATGACATACCGGCCTATGGATGTGGAAGACTGCGGCCCTCATTCCCATTTTTATTTCTTTCTGTTGCAGGTAGTTGTGTAAAAGTCAACGAAGGTATCACACAGAGCAGAGCATTTGACGCGGTTCATTACAAATGGTTACCAGCACTGCAACGCCACAACTGAAAAACAAAAACACAAAACCCCCCAACCAAACCCCTACTACTCGCTGCCTTTATTTTACCTCACTGACACAACGGGGCCGAGGATCAGTAGCATCAGCCAACAGTATAAAATATGCCACCTGACTGTTCAGTGCGGGACACTGCTGCGACTCAATGTTTACATCTTCTGAGAACTCAACAGAAAAGTCAATGTCACTGTAGAATGACAACGTCAAATCATCTTTCTCCCCTCAGTTTTTATTTATGATCTGCAGACTAATTATCAGTTATGAAAGGTCTTGAAATCCTTGGCAATAAAATACTTCAAACGTCGGTATGTTAGAGGTAAGTTAAAGTTAGCACCTGTGCAGTGGCAAAAGGGGTGGATCTTCCTGTCCTGTCTAGCTGACCACTCAGACAGATGGGTGGTTGTTAAAGGCTAAAGCAGGCACAGCCACGGGTACTTCAATGGAAGATACAATGAGAATTTCATGTAAAAACTAAAATCTAACGGTTGCTTGTGTTTTCTTGCGTGCACATTTAATTTATAAAAGCTTATTTTCAATTCCTAAAGCAACTAATTTAAAATAAAACAGCTTTATGATTTAGGTCAACGTTCTGTAGCCCTCAAGTACAAAAATATAAATACAAACTGTTTAAACAGCATTATTTAATGAGATTCTGGCAGTATGGTTTTTTTCCTTAATCTAACAAGATGCGTCATGTAACAGGTCTGCCACTGAACTTGCTCAGAGTAAAATCAGCTTCAATATGAAGCTGTTAAGGTATCAAAACCCTGCTTTTTACATGCTAAATATCTTCAGCAAGTGTGCACTTCAACACAGCAATGAACTTAACTGTAAGAATAACTAAATACATACATGAAACTCTGCATGTGGAACATAATCTAGAGAACTGGTTACAACAAATGATTACCTGCATTTCGTTAATTTAATAAAGGTACAAATCATGCAAAACAATCCAAAAGGTAATGCGAAGGGAAAAGAAAAAGCTACCGGAGTTTGCAGGAAGTGTTCAACTAAACCAAAATTACACTAAATGAAATATGCTTATTTACTAGCACAGATCTATCGCTATTTCAAAGAAGCAGAGGTAAAGTCTTCTGGCTTTGAATGTCAGTTATACTGCAAAATGTCATTGCTCTTGCTTAATGCAGAAGCACATGCTCAGAAGCCCAGAACTGCTTATTCAGAAAAAGTCTGCTGACAATAGTTCTGGCCTCTCTGGAACCAGAGATGCTGCGTGGATTAAGAATAGCAGAGATTTGCAAGGATCAAGGCAAAGGCACCCTATTCAGTTAGCCAAAATGGTAGCATTCCCTTTCTCATAAGCATGGAGATGGTAATGGGGCAATTACTACAAAGGCAGCATTTTATACGTTGTCATTAATTTCCCGTTTTGTAAATGCCATTCGCAGACACCAGCTGGTAACTGTTTAAGTATAATATAAACCTACAAGATGAATTTGGGATTTTATTTGTCCTGATTTACAAATAAAGACTATTACTAATGCTTTAAAACACTACTTTAAGTATCTAAAAAGTTTAACTCTTACTTTCCAATATTTTACATCTTAGCTGGACTACCATCTTACGTTGTTTCAAACATCTAACACTGCTTACTGGACTTAATAAAAGTTGTACCTCATGTATTAAGCAGCAGGCAATAACAATGGTCTTCCCCAGCACAGCTGCATCTGGCTGGCTACTGAAAGATTAGGAGTATTTCTAGAACACAGGAAAACTCATGCAGTTTGGTAAAGTTTGTTATCATTTCACAGTTTAAATTTCCTTCAGTCATTGCACTTTTGTTGATAGTCTTGCTTTTGTTGTTGTTTTTTTTTTTAAATACTATTCCAAATCTGAATTTGAACCAGCAGCTTTCTTTTTCTTCTTTTTACTATGCTTCTTGTGCTTCTTTCTCTTTTTTGCTTTATCCTAAAAAAAGAAAAAAAGCGAAAAAGGAAGTTACAGTATGAGAAAACTGCCATCTACTAAATTCCATTCAATAACAGTGAGAGCATGGAAATGAAAGTTTTACAAAGACATTTTGGAAGATGTTTCTGTAAAAATCTATGGCACTTCAGAGGAGACTTTTATAAAAGCCTACTGAAAAAAGAATCACAAAAAATAGTTTATGATTTGCACTATTATGAGGAGTTTTCAATTTATCCATCATGGTCTGGCTACTTCACACCCCTCAGCATCATCACTATCATATTTCTTCATCTTTTTAACAAATTTTCAGTGCTTTATAGATTTCTGAGAGAATAATTTGCTTTGAAATCTTATGTATATGGGAGTAACTTGGCTGTCTATAGACTTAAATTAGGTGCTTGTATTCACAGTGCACTATACTAGGCTAAAATCTCCAGCATTTGCACCTTAATTAAAACAAAAGATATAGTTTCAATTTTAAATATTCACATATACACTTAATTAACACCACCAGATTCAATCAAAAACTGAAAGATACAAACTCATCCTTTTGCAAGCAGAAGTTCAATTGGAATTCTTCAGTAGGTGTAACAACATAAACAAAGCAAATTTGCTACAATATCTTTGTTCTATACACATTACTTATCTCTTTTAAGGAAAAAAAATAGTCACTGGGAATTTTATGACAAACAAACTAACTCAAATTTCACATACTGAAAACAGTACTGAAATTCCTGTGCTCAGGTGCCGTAACTCATTTGGGAAACTGAAGTACCTATTTACAAACAGTGCTGCTCACAGTGCAGACAGCGTAGCTCAGAACTACAACCCTAACTCAGGTACATGTGACATATCTGAGGTTCTACCCTATCACTGCTGAACCCTTGTCCCACCTTTATCATCAGAGAAAGTATCCAAAGCAGAGAAAAGCAACAGGTTACCAGCAGCATTTCATTTGGTTGAGGGAAGAATTATATTAGTATTATGATGCTGCAGAGATTGAATCCTAAGGCCTTTTTTTATAGTCTGGTAGAGAAAGTGTACAAAGGAATATTTATACACAATAAACCTACAAAGGAACAGCCTCAATAGCTATAGACATGTTGCTACCTGATACTACAAAGAAATCTGTAGTTGTTAGGCTGGTACAGGGTAAAACGTATTTTGACTTGATGCAATGAATGTTAAATACAACTCAATTCATACATATCTATGTAGTTAAAATAGTGACAAATTCTTCCCCTAATTATGCAGCTGAAAAAGTGATTTCAACAGCTAAAGAGAGAAATTTCAAATTTCAATTAATGTGACTTTAACTATTAAACATTTGTGTTACTGTGAAATTATAAGTTAACCAAGTACAAGATATGGATGTCCTAAAACTACGGTATGACTATAAGGGATACTTGCTGTTGTTTTCTCTTTTTCCTCATTGCTTTTCTTCTTTTTCACTTGAACCTAAAAGGAAAAAAAATAAAAAAAAACCAGATGTAATGAGACAGCAGCTTTGGAAATGCTGTTTTATATGAAAGATTGAAGTTTTGTTGTATATAAATGAGAAATGGCACAACACTGGCAGGGCGTTGCCAACTGAGCGGTTGCTGACTATAACAGTGCTTTATTCTAGAGTAACTATGATCCTATAAACATGTGATTTTGGGCACTCTGCTATTTAAACACAGCAGCACAAGCAGCCAGCAGAGATCTAACGGTAAAACTACTGAGTGAATAAACTGGTTGAAATTTTAATGGAAAAACCTTTTGAACCTTTTGGTGTTATGTAATTCTACAGGAATACAAATCCTGAGAGGAAATACACAAGGGTGAGAGTAAGATTATGTCCAACACTTTCTAGATGAATGGCAAAAGGCAGCCAAAAAAGCTGAGCTATCTTGGAATCTTGCCTGTGTGTATTCAGTGATCAGAGAGAAATCTTGTGAAGCACCACTTAGCCTCATTTTATTAAACTCTAAAACATCCATGAAAAGTTTCAGGAAAATTAATTCAGAATAACCTGTAGGTGGTAGGAGTTGCACTAAACAATTCTTATCAGAACCATCTAATAAAGAGAAAAATACAACTTTGAACATGCCACATGCTTAAAATCAACTGTATAGAACAGAACATTTCAATAATATATTCAATTTAGGCTAGTTTTAACTGTTTACTCATGGGAATCACTAAGATAAAAGCATTACAACATCTGAAACTTAGCTTTCTGACCTCCTCTGTCTGATCCGGTTCTGATAAGGATTCTGATGATAAAGGCCCATCACTACGATCGACTTTCTTCCTCTTTCTGTGATGATTTTTGCCATCCTACATAAAAGAATATATTTGCAAGTAACGTTAAGCCTTTCAGATGTTATGAAACTTCTCCTTTAAAATTATATGGAAATATTATTTCTAAGTTATGAAATATATTTAAAAAATTATGCATTAAACTAATTATTCATCAGCAAATCATCATAAAGTTAAAATGCTTTCACAGTGAGAATATAATAATTTTCTGTGTGTTGCTTCATTACCAAGATACTGCAACTTCTTAAGAATGATATAACAGTACAATACAGTCTCTTATTTTAAATGAAAACTTACAAAGGAGCAAGCATTTTAAAATAAAATGCTTCATCATTTCAAAAGACTGTAGAGCAAATGAAAATGTCTCAGAGTATGCACAAACAATGTTGCTTTGGTGCTGATTAATAAAAAGCTCCCTTTAGATTTGTGCCTCTGGCATGGGACATGCTCTTTCAACATTTTATATAAATAGTTTCAATATATTTAAAGAGCAGTCAAGCAGTCTTTTATTTTTCAGTTTTAGTTTTTGTAATTCAGATCCTGCAGAAGATTGTTCTGATGAGCCATCTGTTTTTCCCTACACTTTTTCAAGTAAGCTTTGCTCTGGACCAAGCAAGGGATTTCTAAGAGTGAAATTATTTTCCTCCATTTCCTCCATTCTAAGTAAAAAAGAAAAAAAAAAAAGAAAAAAAAAAACAGTAAAAATTCTTACTAATCATCTTTTTGAGTGCTGACATTACTTATATCAACCCTCCTACTTAGTCTATTATAGGTACCACAATCCTTTCCCAGAAGTACTCATGAAAAGCACATATGATGTAACCCATCTGAAAAGGCATCTTCAGAACAGAAAAGACCTGTAGCCCTCAAAAGCCCTTTGATTTCAGAAGTAAAAGCAGCAATACAGCTTAACCAAGATTAAGGGGCTATGGTAGTCACTTGCTCTTTGAAGAGAAGATACTCAAGAAGAGTTGTTGGGAAATGAGAACTGGGGAACAAACACAACAAAGAAAAAAAAAAAATCAACATCTGCCTGATGTAATGGAAATTTTATACGTCAAACCCAATCTGGTTGATTTTAGTAGCAGAGAGCAATGTGTTAACAAAGGTAACTGAAGAGAAAGACTAGGGCTGACACTGAAAGCTTTGTCAGTTTACACACAGAAATAACTAACATTTAAGTAAACAAGATTATTTACATTCAACAAAGTAGAAGGAGGAAAGCCCTCAGACGTGTGTGTACAAAATGAGTGAGATGTGGGCGAGGAGGGAGGGATTTTGTGCCCAGAGAAAGACAGAATAAGATAAACCTGCTTAAGCTAATACAGTTTTCTCTGTAATGTTTTAAAGCAGCTGTAAGTAAAACATGTAATTATGACTGCATTTAGACAAAAATATCCTCTGCTTTCTATTACTTAATTTAGAATAATGAGCCAATATACTATCAGGTGTGTCACTGAAATACCATAAACGCTTTTAGGCCAATTTAACTGTTAATGTTAAGCCCCATATACTAGAATGCTGATGATCTACTACAGCAGATTAGATACTTCATTTACCTTCATGACAAAACCAGACCCAGCAGTTTCTACTGGCAATTACTAACATAGGAACCTAAAAATCTTACTCAAACTGGGGCCACTGAATTGTCAAGTTTTGGACAAGGATCGTAAGTGTAAGTTGAAGTATTCAATACTTTAAAAAAAAAAAAAAAAGTGTGAAGGGGTGCTGGGGGATGGAGAATAGAGGAGTAGAAGAGACCCATTATATATGTAAAATGAAGTTCTGATGCAGGTATTTAAAAAGTAAAACTATACCTTCTCTTTCTCATGGTCTTCCTTTGACTTCTTCTTTTTTGTGCTGTCCTAGGTAGAAAGAAAAACATCCACCATGACAAAATTATTCCAGAAATTGCAACAGCAGCCTGACTCATTACCTTTTGCTGTATACTGAAGATTGTTAACTTGCAGCTAACATGACCAATACAAAAAGCAACAAGATTTTGATGGCAGCTGCTGATTTCTAGAACAAGCAGTGAGAAAAGGTCTCTATGGAATCAAACAACAGAGAACTTACTCAGAGCAGTACACCTAAAGTGCCTCTAGAAAGGATACCAGCCACTACTACCATCACCAGATACTCCTCTAACCTCCAGCAGTCTGCAGTTTTTATTCTCCATCCATGCTCCTCTCAATGGATGACAGTGGTTAAACCGAGATTGCAATGGAGTTTTCTATCTTCTACTTTCAAAAGTGAGAGTATCTCTGTGTCCGTTTATGTAGGAAACCTTTTCAAACTGCCACTAGCACAAATTCACAGTTTGATGCAAACAGTGATTCATCAGATTTTACACCATTCTGAATTAGGAATTCCAAGAAAATTCCAGCAAAACGCCAGCCCACACACAATGTTATTATTTCAAAAGGAAGCACAGTTACTGTCCACTACCACAGAAAAATGGTAACAAAACGGATCGCCACATACATCTTCAATAACGTTGTGCCTGCAAGCACACTCTCCACTACTTTCTTTTAAGTACAAAAAAAAAAAAAACCCAAACTTTCAATTTATTACTTATTTGTGAGGCTGAGAGGTCCAACAGGCAACTATTCAGTCCAAACACACTCAGGAAGGCAGTATTCTGGCCACTGATTCCCTGAAATAGCTGCATTTTCACAGATGGTATTCAATTCAGTAATAGCATGTTGACAAGAACATTACAGAACATTTTCATTTTTGAACTGTTAACATAGTATTAAAACAAAACATCTGAGCAGCACAAAAACTGCTTATGTCTGAATTCAGAAAAGTAGATAAAAAATGATGGAATATTTATTTTCTAAACAGGAACTGTATTCCACCAAGACACTGTGGACAGCAGAGGTACATTCCTGATCACAACTTGAAAGATACAAGCACAGCTCAGCTACAGTAAGAATGCGTGACTTTGAATACAGCAATTACAAAGTCAGAAACACTTGTCTTTATAACACAGATCAGAGACATTTCCTGAGGGTAACGTGCTCTTAATTACCTTGCTGTCTGACTCAGATTCAGAAGCTGAGCTTGATGAAGATTTCCGTGAGGAGCGATGTTTCTTTTTCTTTTTTTTCTTCCCCTGCTTTTTATCCTATCCACAAATATGGTAGGAAAAAAGAAAAGGACAATCCTGAATTTATTTTCACTAGATATTAAAAACTTATATTACATGCAAAGAATAGGGAATGCCAAATTCCTACATATTATCATTTTCTCTTGAGGAATAAATATACTACAATTGATTCCTTTAGTGGAAAATATTTGTAACTCTTCTGCATTAAAAAAAAAAAAACCTAGGGTAAAATTTAGTTTCCCCAGATTCTGTTTATCATTTAGATGTATGCTACAGAACCTGACTATGTCTAAAAAAGTTTTATACTAAACTAGTAAAAATAATGTGGTGAGTTGGGGGGATTCTACTGGAAAAGCATACAAATCCAAGTTAGCACAGCAATGGATTCAGTTTACAAGCTAGCCTCCCAAAATACATTTGTTTATGAAGAACTTATTGAACAGATACATATCTAAAATTCACAACTGTATCATATGTACCAAATATACCAAATTTAAATAGTTTTATGCAAATGAAGCCCTCAAAGAATATTTTAAAATATATTGCCAAGATCTGTGTTAAGTCTCATGATGAAGTGTGAGCTGGTATTTAATTCGACTTTTTATACAAACTATCCTTTGACAGAAAAATATGCATGCCGCTATGCATTCTACTTCCTATCAGATCAATATGTTACTTTTGTTTTCCCTTCATTTTCTAGAAAGGATAGGCTAAAAGCCTTATTCTGATCACACACTTTTTATAAAGGCATGTAGTGACAGGACAGGGGGTCTGGAAGGAGGTAGATTTAGAGTAGATACTAGGAAGACATTCTTTACTGAGAGGTTGGTGAGACAGTGGAACAGGCTGGCCAGAGAGGTTGTGGATACCACCTCCCCAAGCATTCCAACACCTGGTCTGGGGGGAGATGTCCCTGCCTATAGCAGGGGGTTGGAACTAGATGATTTTAGAGGTCCTTTCCAACCAAAACCATTCTATTATTTCTATGATTACAGTCATTTTTTTCTTTGCTTTTTACCCAGTAATACTGGTTTGACATATGTCAAAAAAGACTGCATAAGGAGGCTGCTTTCAGCATCTGCAGAATTTGGGATACTCTGCAAGCCTTCACAGCAAGATGCTCATGCTCTATTTCTTCCTCAAAGATCTTAGCTGTGTTAATAGGAATTTAGAGGTTAAGATTTAGAATATTTCAGAACTGCTGACACTATACTAAATCCAAAGAGTATCTCAAGACCAGAACAATCTCTTCCAAAGTATGTAAACCTCTCTGTTTTAATCTAGTGTCTTCAGAATATAGTTGTGGGTTAGTCTAGTTTGCAATACATCACTTTGCAATGAATCTCAGGTTCTACAGACAAAATGGGTTAATATGTGCAGTACGTCGCCACTGCTTTTCTTCATTCTATAATGAACTACAGTATCACCCTTTTAAAGTACCTTTATTGGCTGTTAAAGTCAGTAAATAGTAAGTAGAATTAAACAAACACTAGCCACTATTTCAGTGACTTGGGTACACATGGGAAAATGCTTACTCATCTTCAGTTTAATCTTCCATGTTCAAAACAGAAATCCCAAGTATTTCCTCCATGATGGAGGAGTTCTCTTAACACGAGAAGAACACACTCCACAGTTACGCCTCAAGCATGCTGAGATCAATAGAAAGGCAACATTTCACTCAAAATACGAAACACGTTACATCCTGGTAATTTAGTGCTTACCTCATCTTCTGAATCAGATGCACTGCTGGAAGAATCAGAGCTTGATGAAGAAGAGGAAGATGAAGACAACTTGACCAAACACAACAAAAAGTGAAGCTTGTGAGATGCAGCATTTTGTCTACCAAATAAGTAAAAGTCCATGCAAACACCTAATCTTAACACCTCTCCATCTGCAAAGCATTGTCAGTAACAGTTTACTTCCAAGAAGCTGGGCTCACGTAGATTTTCCTAAATAAGACTGTAAAAAGTGACTTGTGATATTTTTAATGTGATAATGGATATTTAATGTTTTCCCTTCCCACCAATTGCTCTTTAAGCAGAAGTAAAATTCTCCTTGTGCAGAATAATCTGCCTCTCTCCACTTAAAATCAGGTAATTTAACATCCAAATTCAAAATTAAAACTGTATCCCCTCTTTCCAAGAAAACACAAATATGCACAATCCCAAAGCAAAAAAAGCTCAGAAAATTGAAAATTTTGCTCACCCTACTAGATTTCTTCTTTTCTTTTTTCTTTTTCTTAAAAATAGAATAAAACAAATGTTATTTTTGGCAATGTGTTTCTGTGCATTTAGGTTTATGTACATTAATGCTGGTTTTTAAAATGTTTTCATGGCATTTTGTATTGCAAAAACCAGTTCCAAATACCAGCTGTGCCAAATGGAAAATAACTGACCTCTTTCTTTTTGGAGGAACTCTCATTTCCACCTAGTAATTTCTCCCTGTGTTTTTCCAGTTCTTTCTTCCAATTCTGAAACAAACAAAATAAGGGTGACACGACCATTATGACCATTATGACTATGACCATTTCCAAACAGTTCTGTTAAGAGAACTTTGTCAAAATCATGTCCTTTACTTGAATTAATAAGTTTTCACAAAATCCACAGAAAGTAAACAACCTGTAGTATTAACCATGGCTATGGTGCAGTTGGTATTACAGAAGATTAAAATTAATCCAGTTATCTTAGTTCACCTTTACGTTCGAGTTAGTTCGGCTTAAGAGATGGTTATTCATCTTGGAGCTCATCAATTTTGGTCTCTTTGGTTTTGTAGTACCACAGAGCTCTTGTTAGAACACATCAGTATGGTGGGTCAGTCTACCAGAAAAATAGGCACTTTGCCTATGTTTTAAAATTACCTGAAGTAAAATTGCAAGACAAATGTTCCTGGCCCTTCTTCAACACATGGGTGTATCAAGTGTCTGCTCTGTGTTTTGTCAGTGCCAATGATTAGAACTTCATTATGCACATCTCTTTTGTTTCCCTCATGAGTTCTCTGTCTATCCCAAATTCCTCCTTTAAGGGCTCTAAAGCATCCAGCATCCCATCACACTGAAATTCTGCTAGCTTGTGCTATTCCTGCTTTCCATGTCAGCAACATCAGGTGTTCCTTTATTATAATAATTTTGATTCTTCCTTTCCTCCTAATTAAGCTGTACTGGTATTGTACTGCCAAAGAAATGACAACCCACATACTGTGTTGAAGGGAAAGAAATATCAGAATTTGAATATGATTATACACATGCAGTGCAATATGATACACAGAACCCCAGGTCAGCACACGGTGAATTAGCTTAACAGTGCTGCTGAAAGAAGTCACAAGGTTAGCCAGGATACAGTGCTGCTTCACAGCAATGCCTACAGAGTACTGCAGCAGGCTGGGTGCTTCAGCTACCTGGTGCTGCCTACAGACCCTCTGACAACAGGCTGGGCTTTGTTAGGTAGACATTCTCTCTGAGGTAGAAATAGACTGGGTATGTGTTCTTTAAAAACAACAACAACAACAAAACCCACAAAACCAATAAAAGAAAGAAAAGAAACAAAAAGCACCAGAACATCTGTCAGTAAACTGAGTGAGAAAGCACCTCAGTCATAGACTTGTAACCCTTTCCACCACTGAGAGATCTGTGCTGAGAAGCTACAAATAATTCATAACAAAGCAAAGGGACACAATAAAGTACTAAACCAAACTCAAAAACTGAAACTGACAGAGCACAAACCAACCAGTCTCCTCAGAATTGCATCCTATTATCTTCAAATATTGGTGTAAATTCTGAAGCAAAAAGATGTAACAGGCATGGTACCAAGCCCTTTCAGTAACAGTGGAGGAGCATTATCTACTTCAACCAGAAACTCTCACACAGCATTGAAGATTACTGCTTGAAGCTTATTCCAAGATACCAGAATCCAAGAAGGAAACAGAGCAGTTAAATTCTCACAACAGGAGTCATATGTGAAACTTTCCTACAGCATGCTGATCTCCAGCAGATGCTAAACACAGTTACCAGAATAGCCCCACTTATAGCAGGGAACCAGCACAGAATGTAATCAGCTTAGGATAAGAGAGAAGTGTTCCAGAAGCGTATTTGGACATTCAAGGCCACTCTTACTGCACCCTCCCATATCCAAATCATATGTATGTTCCTCACCAATGCAGCCTGATTCCAGTAACACACCTCTTCCCAATGTGTTTGGATTGTGTGACCTTAAACAAGTGATGATTAGGTCACATTTTCTTCACAGTATTTCTCAAAACTTTTTATGCAGGGTTTCTCTGAATCAGGAGTAGCTAGCTCTTCATTGGTTAATAGGTAATGTTAATATTCAGTACAAACAAAATAAAACATTCACTCATTATGAGATTGAGCACAGTGAAATGTTATGGGTACCTGGTGCTGTTAATGATAAGGGAAGGAAAGCAGCATACAAGATAAGACAGCTGAGGCATTAACATACTAACAACATTACCAACCTCGTTCATCTTCTCTTCAAACTCAGCCAAAGCCCTGGATCCCTTCTTTTTCTTCTCCAGCTGTTCTTTCACTTCTTCCCTGTACAAAAAGGATGAGAGATTAGTCACTGCGCTCTCACAATCAAAAAATACCTGCTTCAGTGTCTAAATTTATGTGGTTTTTTTTTGAAGTTTAGCTTTGGCTGAACTTCCAAAAGAAAAATTATCTTAGATGTTACACATATGGCAACCTAACTGTAATAACTTAAGCATGGTAGCTAAATCTCTCTGAAAGATCTAAAGCTAACTTTGCAATTAGGTAAATTGTGCTCTAATGTCTTAAGAAAGGGGTTAAAATGGCCTGAATGTAAAGTAAGCTGTTGATGATACCTTAAAGCAATGATTTGGTGGGGTATGGTAGACTACGTTCTAAGAATCTACCAGCAAAATGTTTTGGTTTCTTTTCCTAGAGATTACTTTGTTTTAAAATTTAATGTCTGCATGCTTTAAAGCATTAGGATTATGAAAGAGGTAAAGTATCCAACATTTTCCTCTTCTGAGAAATTTCTCAGCCAAGCTATTTAAAGACAAATGAGAAACGTATTTCAAAGTGAAATATTATTTTTAAAAGAGACTGAATATGCATTTAGAAAATAACATCTTGCCCAGAGCCAAGGAACCTTCTAAAGTATATCACTGTATTTGGAGGAGGATGTAAGTAACTGAGAGAACACAGGGAACAGATCTTTCACTCGGTTCAGGCACTTACCATGTTGGCCTTGGTCTGTTCAAGTAGTCTTGTATTGTTGGTCCCGAATTTTGGGCAGGACCTCGTGCTCTGGCCATAGCTATGGGATTCATGTAAGCCTTGAATATGAAACAACAAGAAATATGAAGTTCATTGGTTGTGCTATGTTATTTACCAAGATCTGTCCTCACTGTTCTTCACACATCCTTTTCCTCAGTCACAGAAAGACCCCAGAAAAGTGCTTTCAGTTTGTTACACTTTGGCAGAAGGAACTCACCCCAAAAGAACCATTCCCCTCCCTGAGCTGACTCTGCAAAGCGAGTACAGCCTTACGATCGTGGAAACGTTCTTTCTTGGGACGTGGAAAGCATGATTTAATTTCAGCTCTTTGTCTCTAGGACATCTGGCACTCGGGCCTTTGGAGTTCTGCTCAAAACTGATGATGGCAAACTCAGTGCATTCTGGATAAAATAACAACACCCTACAAGACTCTGCTGTAACACCAAATAAACAAGTGGCGTTCTGCTGATAGTTTTGCATATGTAAGACCTTGGACACTTAGGGCTATCATAAGGCAAACACCTGGAATTTTATGAGGTATCTATTATAACCTCAGCAATTAATGCCAGAAACTGAAGCAAACAATTACTCTATTGTTACTATGCCAATGATATTTTGCTCATGTAGAAGGGAGGTACATTTTCCTTCTTCTCCTGCTCTTACCAGGATGCCGTCCCAATGCTTCACTATTTACCTTCACAAAACACAAGACAAACCACTCCTCCTGCCTGCAGGTTGCAGATAAGAAAAAGGTCAAAGCAATGTGCAGCTCTGGTTGCCCAGCACCTTCTTTTGTAGCAGGAGGATGCAAGCGCTCAAGTGAAGACACATATTCACATTTATAACTCTAGCAGTTTATTATATTACAAATCAATAAGTAGCAGGAATTCTGCATCCAAACTGAGCTTGAGTCAGAAAGGATTTCCTTTAGCGGTGCAGGAATGCAGTACTTCAACACTGTTTTCATTAAACCAAGACAACTGCAGTGCACTGGGAGCAGCAGAAATTATGGCAGAAATGCAGTTCCCAGCTTGGCTTCCTGCAGCCCTCGTTGGCTACCTGCAGGAATTCCTTGTGAAAGCCTGAGCTTCTTACGTTTGTAATTATTCCTAAGAACAAGATTGCTCGCTGTTCTTCAAAAAAATTTAGCAGTTTTTCTCCCAGACTAGCCCAAAATGACAACAAATCCCTCTCTACATTTTGGCTAGAGCTGCCAAATGCTGGTTTTCTGCCTCAAATTGACTCCTTGCAAGCCCTCCACACAGTGGCACAGTTTTTTTCCTTTCCAGCAGCAGGCATGTAACGACTGAATACTGTATTATATCCCACAATTAGGGAATGTATGTCTTAAAATATTCCTATAATTTCAGTAGCTTTGCTTATGAAGATTCATTTTGCCAACAAACATTTCCTAGAAGCACTTACACTGCTCTGCATTTCAGCAGCCAGAAACCATAGAAAAATGTGTCCTAACAAAAAAAGTGCTCATATGCACATTTATTTTCCTCTCCCAGCAGTCTGCTCAGGGATTTCTTATTAAAGATATTTGTTGTATAGCTTTTGTGCTCATGGAAAGCAGAAGGCACCTTCAGCTGGCCAGGGTCCTATGGGCAAGCAACCTATTGGTGTCCTGCAAGTGTTGTGAAGATGTGAGAGAAATAAACTTCTTGTCCTTCTCCAAACAGTCCAACTAGTGACAGCTTTAAGAACAGCCATGGATAAGATGTAAGAGGTGGGAAGCTCTGCAGTCACAGAAGAGCAGAAAAGAGCCCTGTGAGATAACCTGTCTATACTATTGTGGCCATTGTGGCCAACTCTTTACTGTGCCATAGATTACAGGGATATAAGATTGGCTGGCATGGGTAGGTACATCTCCACTGTAATATTAAAATAATTGTAAGCAGATACCCAAACACAGCCCAAAACACGATAGGAGGGCAACATACTTGAAGCATATGTCAGGCCCTGCACTCTGACACAGTCACATCTTCAGAGTTACAGAACCAGAGTGGTTTGGATTGGAAGGAACCTGGAGTGTCATCCAGTTCCAACCTCCTGCCAGGCAGGGCTGCTACCCACAGTTCAGCTGCCCAGGGCCCCAGCCAACCCTGCCTTGAGTGCCTCCAGGGATGGGGCACCCACAGCATTCTGGGCAGCCGTGCCAGTGCCTCACCACCCTCTGACTAAAGAATTTAGTCCTGACTCTAAGCTAAATCTCCCCTCTTTTAGTGATCCCATCATTTTAGTGCCTCAGTGAAACAACCAAAGCTCTCTGCAGGGACAGTTCCTTGTACACCTCTTGCACGCTGCCACTGAGCTGTGCAGACACTTGCCCATGCGGAGGCAGCTACAGCTCAAAGCACTTGCTAAAAACAAGAAAAGGGGAAAATCAGTCTCATGACTTATTTTTTCATCACAAAACTCAGCAACTGTAAATTCACACTCATGGTGCCTAAGGGATGAGCGTGAGGTGAGCGGCTGGCTGGTAGGCACAAGCTTCAAGGAGAAAGTGGGATGAATGCAGTAACAATGCAGAATGAAGCTCTGCAACCACGAGCGTTTGGGCCTCGTGAGGCGAGCAGAGCTGCGCGGAGCCCATTTCAGCAGGGCCAAGTGCCAGGCGTAAGGAGATACGGCTTAGCGGCTACCAGAACTACTTCAGCAGCTGCAGCAACTCCCAGCGGGAACGCTGCGTTTTTGAAGGACTAGGCCAGCATCTTCATCACCCGCGCTCGGCAGCTCGCACAACAGCTCTCAGTCACGGCCGCCGCCGGCTTCGACGCGGCAGCGAGGCTCCGTCACGGAGCCGCAGACGGGCGCCCGCCCCCCACGCTCCGCACAGCCCCAGACGCTGCCCGCTGCCCGTTCCCGGCCCCGCGGACCCCCCGGAGCTCCCGCCCGGCGACTCGCAGCTCCGCAGCCCTGCGCCTCACCGCTCGGAGCCTCCCGCCCCGCGGCCGCCGCCGCCCAGCAGTACGACCAGAGGGACGGCGGCCCCGCTCTCCCGGCGGCCGCAGCCTTGGACCCGGCCGGTCAGGCCCTCCGCGGCCTCCGCCCGTCCGCCGCACCGCTGCGGCCGCCCGGGCACCGCGGCCGAGCCCTGCGGCGGCCGCCCGGGCCCCGCCGCCGCCCGCGGGCGTTACTCACCACGCGGTTGTCCCGCTTCCCCATGGCGCCGCCGCGGCCCAGCCCGGGCCCCTTCCCCGCGCCAGGGAGGCCGCGCCGCAGGCGCCCGGCCCTGCTCGGCCCCGCGCAGCCACTCGGCCCCGCGAGCGGCGATGGCGGCGGCCGAGCAGCGCCCCCTGCCGGCGGATCGCGGCCAGAGCCGACCGCGGCGCCGCCTCGGCTCGTGGGCGCGGGGCGAGGCCTCGCGGGGCCGCACCGCGGGGGGGACGGGGCGGAGCCCCTCGGAAGCGGCGCGGAGGAGCGCGGCGGGGCTTCGTGCGTGCGGCGGGTCGGCGCCGGCCCACCGTGGTGGGAGAGGTGGGACAAGCGAAGGCTGAAGGGAAATCGCGGGGTGCGGAACGTGGGGAGCCCGTCTGCACTGAACAGCTCAGGGGAGGGGAGGGTGCCGTTGGGAGGTTTTTTTCTCCTCTTGACCTACCTTGTGGCCGCTGGGAGGAGTCGCTTCTGTTTGCTGAAGTGTATGTTGAGGTGCCCCCACTGTGGCGGCCTGTCCTCGTACGGTGCTCTGCGGAGCGGGGTCTGCTGCCAAAACGAAGGGGAAAAGAAAAGGAGAATAAGTGCCCAATCGTCACTTATTACCTCTCTGCTTCACTGGCAAACCAAGGAATTCTGTAGTGTGGTGCCCAAGAAGCCCGTCAAAGACACAAGCAGCAAAACTCCTTAAAACATACAGAGGAAAAGACAGCATTAGCAGAGAGATGATGCTCCTTACAGCGCAGCCTTGCCCTGCATGCCTCCCCAGCCTGGTCCCCTGGGCAGGCCCTCACTGGCCAGCTCGGGGCTCACGGTGCCTGGCGGTGTGTTGGGGTCTGGGCACAGGTCTGGCTATGCTGCTGCCACCACACACACCAGGTATGGGCACATGGTTCCGGCTATGGCACTGCAGGCTGTGTCCAGTGCCGGAGGTCTGGGAGAACCACAACCTGACATGAGGCCATGGCAGAGTGTGAAGTTGTGGCTGACAGCCCCAGAGCAACTTGGAGCATTTTGGTGACATTGCCATTAGCTCTCCTGCTGGACTGGGAGCCAGGAAGCACATCCAGCCAGAGGGGGTGTCTAAAAATGGGTGACAATATCTACAGGAAAGACTTCTGGGTGACAGGAGGCTGAAAGGTGCCGATGTCTATAGAATGCAAAAAAAGCAACACAACAAAGTGATGAATACTGCAAATCTTGCTGTGTGCCATTAACTGACAGACAAATGAGAGACATTTAAATCTTTTAAAATGAACATTTGCTTCTGTGGTGCAATGATACCTGGTGTTGTTAGGTAGTTCTGAGGCAAAGAAGATGACAGCATTTATGGGAATAATGAAAACTGTATCACTCGTGCTATTTCTATGTGGTATTTTGCATAATGGATTTGATTAAATTTTATTTTATCTCCCGTGGTTGAGTTTGATGAGCTTGGTGCAGCTCAGCCTCTCTCACAGGTGAGGGCAAAGGAAGAAAATCTCCATGGGAAGAGGTTGTTCCACAGCTGCCCACAGCCTTCTGGAGCTCCTCCACTGCCAGCTTAGCACTCTAGAGATCAGATGCTGAATGCAAGCTCTTGATCTGTTTACTATTTCTGTGTTTTTTCCATGTTTTCAGCACGTGCCAGCTGTAGTTGAGGTGGGTATGTCCAGCACTGCCCTCAGCACAGCCTCCCTGCAGCTGATGGTACATCCATCTCTGGCTGGGCTACTGCTGTGCCCTCTTACGCAGTGCTTCAGGGCTGATGTGGAATGCCACGTAAGGTAAAGGTAGCTGTTTTTGTTTAATGTCACATTGCGTCCAAAGTGTATATGCCAGTTTTGTAAAGGATTTACATGACTCCTTCTGGTTTCTAGAGGGCAGCAAAAAATTGTGGTTTTGTTACAGAATCCTTTGTGTTGTGGTCTGGTCAGCTTTGCAGCCATCTCTGCCTAGAGCTGTGACCCAGATGTGTCTGAATGCTTGTTTTTACATACTGATGGCTCATTGAAGCCTTGTTAGTAGAAACTACTTTTATCCTCTAAAGAGACTTAATGGTCTTTGCAGATATATCACAGAATCATGGAATGGTTTGGGTTGGAAGGGGCATTAAGGATTAGCCAGTTCCATCCCCCTGCCATAAGCAATAAGCTGAAACTTCACATGAGCTGTTTTGCTGAGGTGTTCTGTTGATTGGGTAGGAGTGAAAACAGGGAGCATGCATCTGGTTATAGAGTTTGATGATGTGTCATATTGTTGGACTCCAAACAAGCACTTTTACCATTTCTATGTACCCAGAAATGTTACTGGTCTCGTATCCATAGCCAATGAAGGAGAACACAGTCAATGAATGAAGTGTGCTCAGGTTCTTAAGAGATGGAAGGTGGAAGTAGCAGCAGACATGAACGCCAGGCCCATCAGTGGAACAACTGGATTGAAAAAAATCAGGAAAAATAGCTGAATCAGTGCACAAGTTGCCTAGCGAAGTGAACTCAAACAAAGAAGATTTCAGTAAAGACAAACTAGTGCTCAACAGAGTCGCCTGGACAGCAACGGCAACAATTTAATGCCTTTGAAAGAAAAGGTGACTTTTTTTTTTTTTTTTTTTTTAATGGATTTCATCCTATGGAAGCAAGGGAATAATTCAGAGATCAGGAAATTCAAGGTAACATTTTTATAAAACCAGAGGTGTATGACGAGTTACTTGGAAGACTGTGAACGTGCTTATGTTTCCGTGTCTGGCTTTGTGTGCATGTTGGGTTCATTTTCGGTAAGGCTCTGGGTGTAGAGAAAAACACTCACAAAAAGAAAAACTGGGAAACGGCGTCGCTACTTTTCTGTATTTAATATACAATACTTACTGCATTTGTATTCATTTTACATTTTTAGATAAAAGAAAAATATAGCTAGAAAAGTGAAGTAAACTTCAGGAAAGTAGTTTTAAATACAAAACTAGTTTCTTGACTTTTTACTTTCCAATAATTTGGGAACAACTAAAAAGAACTTGACGCCATGAACATTTTTATTATATCGATTTTCATACTGAACCCTCAGCACCCACAATAAATACACAACTTTGCTTTTCTTGCACTGCCAGCAGCAAAACGTTCAGTTCCAAAGGACTGTAATTCTGATATAATACATTGACAACCTTCTGTGTGCCTTAATTTAACTCTGCCGTATTGACAAATGAGTATTTTTGCAGTCCACCATCTTTACAGACTTGTAAAAGCTAAAGAATATGTTATATGGTAAGGTGCATGCTTGGAAGAGTACGCTCCGATGAACTTCAATGCAGTCAATGTAAAGCAGCCCCAGCGGAGGGTGTTCCTAAAGCAGAAAGCCTCCCAGGGTGAGATCTGGGACACAGAGCAGGCATGCAGTGAGATCAAAGGGCTTTGTCTGAAAGCTTGCAAAGAGAGCCCGAGAGCATCCAAAGTGTCGGCATTGTTTCCCAGCCATTCTGTACAGCAGAAACATAGTTTTTCCAATGCGCGTATGGTAATCAGCAGCTGTGCAAGAAGAGAGAGGCTGCAAGAGTTCACGTACAGCAATGGTGCAATATTTTTATTTACCACAGTTTGTGTTATGTAACCCCTTGGTGTATATTTATAAGCACAAGGCAAGCCAGCGTATGTACGTAACAATTCAAGAATCGCAGTTACACCTTCCTGTACCTCTGTGAGCGATACTGTGTTTCACACAGATCTGATCTTAATGCTGAACAAAAAGAATGTAAAGAACACTGAATCATAATCATTAAGCACACAGAATAAAAATAATGATGCACCTTTAAAAGAAACAGTAACACACGCACCTTTTCATGTTTGTACCCTGATTAAAAGAACATCGTGAATTTCAAGTATGAAGTGATACAGTGAAATCATGTCCTGTGAGTAGGTATCCATGGTAGTCTAGGTAGTACACTTTGCACCATAGGTAACTTTCCACCTTGCACAATAAAATCCTACTGCCTATGTAGGTAAAGTGACAGAGCTCAGCGGGACCACGCTGCCTTTCACCAGCAGTTACGTGTCCTAAGGTGAAGGAAGGAAAACATCTGAAACTGCTTTGCATTATTCCCTTGGACAATCAAACCCTAGACATCTCCAGAGCACATGGTGTTATGAAAAGAACACAACAGAAGTCAAACAGCGTTAGATGCCCTTATAACCTCTTGAATTTTTTTTTTTTTGGTAAAATCGTACTGAGAAATTAAGGCACTGAGACAGACGTTGAGTCAGCCTGGTGTAATAATACCAATGAATGAAGTTACTCTGGATGTGTCTCACAAGCTGTCCTCCCTGTTCATAGCATTCTGTAAACCCGAAAGTGCAAGTTTTAATATTGCCTTTTGAGACTGTAATGTATCTTGCAGATTCCCAAAGCAGTATCCCAGAAGGGTTACAAACAGGCCTCACTTTACGCAGTTCTGTTAACTGGAATTTGTATTGTGTAAATAGGCACGCATGGGTGTCTGAGCGGTGAGAAGTGAACCTTGTTTCTGGTACATTTCTGCACCAGCATCATCGTCACATATCCCAGTGCCCAAGGAAGTGCACTTCCAAACTTTTGTATAAAAAAGAAATGAATAGAAACTGTGAGAGAAATAATATTAACTAGAGTTAATAGTTTTTGTCACGCATTACCATTTATATAACATTCTTGCTGATTTATTAAGCTTAAGTATCCATATAGACCTGAGCTGCCTGACACTGGAATTTGTAGATTTGCATGATGAAATTCTTGGTTTAAATTAATTGTAGTCAGTGGAGTTACAAAAACGCTGAATGATTTTAATTACTTTGAAACCCCAATCCTATTTCATGCAATTGTCCACACACACATACAAAAAATACCAAAATTTGCTGCCTTTATGCTTTTGTATAGTCAGCAATCTTTTCTCAAATCCAGATGGGCAATTTGATTTTTGCAACAAATGTACTTCGGTTATGAGGTACCACTTAGCAGTGGCCCCTGGTTTCAGCATCTGGAATCTACAGATATCTGCTGGAATGACTACAGACGAGATAAAGCCAAAGGCAGCCTATGTAATATTTTCTAATTGTAATTTTTCAGACAACCATCTCCCACTACGTATAAAATTAGCTCTACCGT